CATTGTGCTGGAAAGTAAGTTGTCAGCTGCGCGCTTTTTGTGTTGCTTTTGAGAGAATTATGAGGAGACAGCAAGACATGGGGTGTGGGCACTGGGATGAGGTGTGATGAGAGGAGATTGGAGAGAGAGCGGGTAAGGGGTAGTCAGAAAAAGATCCGTCGGTCGATTTTATTCCCTCCCTCCCTCCCTTCCTTCCGCTGTCCGTTTCTTGTCTATGGGTCCACGGGGGAGGGATAGGACCCGTTGCCTTCTTTTCTCCGCTACCGCTACCGCATCCGTTCCCGTAACCGTAGCGTACCCACTTCATCCATTGTGCTGGGTCTGTTCTTGCTCTATGGGATTTGGAAACGTGAGATGGGATTCATCTCATGTGCATGTTAGGATCGAGGAGCCTCTTACTGTCGAAGAAAAAGAATTACGAGATCTATGTGAAAAGAAGCAAACAGCTGCGAGGTATCACTTCTCCGGCTAAATCGTGCCGTCTGTTTACCTTGTTGCTCTGAGAGACAATGCGGCCATTTCTGCAGCGTCCTCTGAGACGAGATTGTCTTCACCTTGATACATGTCCGCCTTGCCCGGTCTCCCAGAATAGCCACACCGACTCACCGACTACTATACACAAGCACAGATCAGCAAGCAATATATTCCAGCTTCACTTTTTCCTGATCCGACAACAGCCAAGGCCATGATCCGAGCTGGCTCTGAAACAAAGTCACCGGCAAACAAAGCAATATTTCACCGCGCTGGCTGGCCCATCCATGTCGAGGCAGGAAGCCTTGTGTGACCCGAGAGAATAGAACACCTCCAAGCCTCGGGCCGGCAAGTTGCATCTCGCTGATCGGAACGGCCGGCATTATTCCTTCTTTTTTCTGTTCTTTCGCTCTTTTGTTCAGCCAATCAGCTTCAAAGGATTGTTTCCCCTCAAAAAGGATCACACAACAGATCAAAAGAAGAAATGAGCATATGCAAACCAGGGGAAAGAAAGGGGGCTGGGAGGGGAACCGTCCATTCACAAACGGTGATATACCGACATGATGCATGCGTAGTTTATATACATACATAACAGCTGAACAAGGAGGGTATGTTGTGGATGAAGAGCTTCGTACTGTAAAAGTAGGTTGACGTATATTATATTTTAAACTATGCTTCAAAAGATACTTGATAGGCTTGTATAGATAGTTGGAGGGTCTTGAAAAGATAAACAATAGGCCTTGAAAGATAGTTGAGAGGCCTATTCGACGTGGAGGGGTGAGGGCGAGAGTGAGTGGTTGAAATGACAAGACAGAAGCCTCCATCTGTTCGTCGGTAAGCAGGCTTGGACTGAGGCAAGCTGCAAGAATGTAGAGACGCAGAGATGGCATAGTGCGAATAAATGAGCCCACCAGCAGCCATCATCAAAGTTGCTCACCACCGAAAGAAGCAGGTCAAAGATTAGGTATGGTCGGGTATGTCCGTCCTTTCACAGGTAGTACAGCACAGAGTGATAGCTGCCATGCCAAAGTCCACGATACTTGACGCGAGAGAGCCAATACCGAAACAGGAAATCCGTCTCATGTCTATCCTCAGATGCAAAAGCAATTGGGCATTGATGCGAGTTACATACCTGCATGCATACCAAGAGAGCAGACTCAAAGAATGATGAACTGCCGCTTGCTGCTGCAAAGTCCCAAAGCCATCAAGGTCCTCACTTTGCAGCGCCTTTGCAGCTGATGACCTCTCGGTGTTACTCATTCCCAGTTTACTTGTGATACCTACCTGAACCCTGTGCCACCTCTTCCCCAGATTATCTGAGCAACTTATCTATGTGCTCGTACACAGGGTCAATCTCAAGCAGTATGTCCAGCCTGCTGACTTTGTTTGTTTGGAAACATTACCCCTGAGCAGACCCACCATTCCCCCCTGTCGTCTCCTCGCCTCACTTTACCACAATGCTTCCAACACGCCTTGTTCAACACCACCCATCCATCCTATGATGTGGGGAAAATATTGAAAGCCACAAGGAGCTTCCCTGCCCATCAATCTAAAAACATCCAAATCTATCAACTCACTGCAAGTACCCGCTGCTTGATCATACCCCCATCCTTGCTTGTGTGCCCTCCCCAGGCCAGTCAAGCTTCACGCCCCTCCTCATTGACCGCTCCTTTCTTCCTGCAACCCCCGCGCAGGAAAAGAGACAAAACGCCTCAAATGTCTCTGTCCCTCCTGTCGACTGTCTTGTCAGTCGCCTGTCGTTGTCAGATACTGAGACTTTGCTCGGCAGGAGAGGGGAAATTATGCGGGTAGCCATATCCCTCATCCAAATGCCACCCTCTCCATCTCCATCCTGGCTATCTTCTTTTTGACCGCTCCAAGATGACGTTTGCTTCGCGGTTACCTGCTTGCTTCAGAACGCGAAAGCGAGAACCTCGCCGCCCTGTCAAGGGGTCAACCCCGCGACGGCTGGGTGCATTCTTTCATGACTGCTCGAGGCTATCAAGGTATATCTAAGAACGATGTCAGAGGCGCCATGTCTTGACCGTCGTATGTCTCATCGGCGGCTGTTGTTGAGTCACGTATCACGCTCAGGGAATCTCGGCTAGGTGCTTGCATCTTCGAGGCCATCAAGGCCAGGCTCAAGGTCACAAGCAAATCATTCTGCTTCGATAAGGTAGCCTCATGTGTCGCTGTCTCGTCTTGCTTGGCTGCCAGCACTATCGGTCCATGATGAGCTCAAGGTTCAAGGGTCCACTGGCCAGTTGCTTGCATGATTCTTCTCAAGTCCGTCATTCTGTGCTGGCTGATTTTGGTTCTAGCCGCATCCGAGTGTCTTGCTTGTCACTTTCTCATGACAAGGTCAGGGTTCATCGAAAATACTCGACAAATACAGACTCCAGACCACACCAAACATTGTTTGAATCATGATTCCCAGCTACCGACTAGGCCGGATCATGTCTCTCATGTCGTTGGCATGATCAAGGTTCAGGGTTCTAGACTCAGGGGTACTTGGCCTTTCTCTCTCAAGGTACCGAAACTACTCTCAACAATTGTCGGGACCGGTATACAGACAGCACACATTCGAGGGCATCACAACGACATGTCTCACCTCCTGCCTCGCTGCCCAAACCTGCAACCTGTTGCTACCCTTTACCGACCGAGAGCGACCCGTACCGGCACCATCCGTCCCGTGCCCGTTCTTTCATTATCTCTGGCGTTCTTCACCGCTGGTCTCACACCTAGTGTAGCAGTGAAGCTGCCCTTGCCCAGCCCGTGATGATCTTGGAATCGGGATAGAAAGTACCAGGCAGTTTAAGCAGGTATTCAGAACCCGGTCGCCTCACCGGTACTTCTCACCTCGTCCCTTCGTTCCCGTCTTCACCGGTGGTCTCCCTTAAACCAAACTTTCCAACGAAACAGGTCTGCAAGTAAGAGTTTTCTGCATCAGACACGCAATTGTCTCTGTTCAGCCTAGCCCAGACCAGTCTACTCGGCATCGGCAATGTTGACTGAAAGTGATCCGAGACCTCGTGTAACCCGGGCACAAATGAGTGCTACCGACGACACATGCCACTCCCTAATTCCCGACAGCCTACCGACCAACACCGAGGCCTCCTCATGATATCTCCGAGCCTTTGGTTTTGTAATCAGCTAGAATTTGTAACACACAGGTTTGCTATCATCAGTCAGCCATCTGACGACACTCAAACAAAGACCGGGAACATCTCAACACCTCGAGCATTGCATCTATGACGAAATCCGGTGATATTCCCGAGCAAAATTACTCCCGGCCTCGGACAACGTTTGGTCCAGACTGTCGGGACGATCTGTCCAACAAAGCAAAGCCAGATGGCAGCAAAGAAAAGCCGGAGTAAGCCCCGAGTTTGACCTCCGACCTCGGTGGCTACCGCTCTAATCATTTCTCGACGAATCACAATCAGGGGCTAGAAAAAGGAAGGAAAAAAAATGAGAAATGCAAGATGCAGCACCCGGGGCAGGTACCTCGCTGTCGGGAAAGACAATATTGGCAAGACGATAAGACTGGCCGGGCTGGCAGGGGATGAAAGGCACAGAAAGAAAGAAGGCAACCATTACCTACATTGCTTCCGAAATACAGCCAATCACACAGCCCTCACACAGGGAGCCACGAAAACCATCGTACTTGCAGCGATATTTTCTTTGCTGGTTCCAGCACAGGCAAGTAAAAGTGCAAAAGTGATGCTGTGTATCCCTCATCGTCGTTCCCTCCCTCATACCTACCCGCCCGCTCCATCCATCCCATCCCAAACCTTCCTGATCAGATCAACCAAAATCTCAAAATATCACTCCTGCTTACTCTCCCGGAGAAGCAGACCAGGCTGCCATCGGGTACGGTCACCACCCCCTTC